TTATTTCTTAAAGCATTTCGTCTGAAGAATGCTTTACACGACTCGCATGTAATTGCATTGAAATTATTGCCTAAAATTCAAATCAATAATCAATAAATACTTAATAATTGAATTTAGAGAATTTATAACATTTTTATTTTTTATATTTCACTATTATGTGTATATCAATTGTTTCAAAAAGTATGCTTACCACTGGCCTTTTCACTACAAATAACACATTTTCTAAAGTCTCTTTCACTCATTGTTATATTGTAATAATATAATTACTTTATTATTAAGTTGAATACAAATTAAGATAATTCTACTAAACATTAAATAAAGACTAAAATATTTTACTAAATGAATTCTAAATAAAACTATAATCAAATGATTGCTATATTTATTTTTGCACAATACACAGAACTACGTAATCTAAAAATATAATAATAGAAATATTGAAAAATATAGTAGACTATTATGATCACTGATAAATTATCAGTGATATAATAACATATATTACACTGTATACTTATTACTATTACAAATACTAGATTATAGACTATGCAAAAGTGAATGTAATTTACAAAAATAATCAACAAAATGTACTTTTAATCATAGTTAACTAACTAGTAAAGGATATAAAAATACTATACCAATAAAGTACTCAAGCAAATACAAACACACTTTCATTGCAACAAAACAATCATTTGATTTACATTTGAGTAATTATTAAATATTATCACTTTACTAAAACCACATGATGTTTAGAAATGTTATCATTTATTGATATAAGTTATAGTGAATCTGTTACTTAACTATTAAATAAGACTTTGAAAGGAATTTTGTTAAAAGTTTATAAATTCTTATGAAACAATTTTGTAATGAAAGTGTTTATAAACAAATTAATTCATACTAGGATATATCAAAACTGTACATTTTATTTATTTATAGATGATTGAGTAAATACACAGAATAGATAATTGTTTAAAAAATAGTAATCATAAATATTAAAGACATTTATTGTATTGAATAGAAAGGTAAAAGTTTATTTGTTATAAAAGTCTATTATTACAAATAATAACAATCATTACAAATGTTTTTTAGCTCTTTTTAGTTTAGTTGCACTTTCCAATTATATGTCATACAGTCATACAGTATATTATTTATTAAAACTACTTTATTACTTATATTACTTATTACTACTCAAAGCATTTTTCTTATTTACAAGAATATTGTGTTATAATGAAAATATTAATAATTATTAAATTAATGATCAAACCCGTTAATGATTAATTATATGATCTCTCTCTCTCTCTCTCTCTCTCTCTCTCTCTCTCTCTATTCCTGAAAATTAGTTTTTTAAGTATAAGATCATATATGTGTTAAAGAGACTGCGAATAGGATTTTGTATGTGATTTTAAAACTAGGACTAATATATAATAAGTATTTTCTTATGATAACTTGAATTGACAAAGGTTATTACGTATATTTAAACTCATAAAATTGAGTATTGAAATCATGTAATATCTCCCGGAGCAATGGGCCTACAAATGAGGGTCTGTCCTTGCTTAGACTTTTCGTGAGTATTTCCCGTAAAACAAACACATCGTGCAAACCATTCATAAATCGTAATAATTTGAGTTTTGCCTCATTTTCCGACTCATATCTCATCAGTAAATAGCGTTGAAGTAAATACATGTAAACGTGTTGTTGGAGTCTAAATACAATTTGAGCCAAATTTTAATTTTTATTGTAGTCAAACATAATCCATATTAAATATAGTACAGTATACTGTATTTAGTAATCATACTTAACAAGCTCTTTATCCAATAGATTAGGTCTCTCATCATTGAATAGTATAATAGCTGTCAACTAATATGATATACATGTATATAAAGTAATGAAATTAATTATGAAACTAATTGAAATAATAGTTATTACCAAGTTAAGAATAACAGGATCCGATTCCCAGTCATTGACAATCGATTGCAAAAACTTGCGAAAAACTGGAAACATATTGAATTTGTGAGCCTTTAATACATTGACTTTCATTTGTGACACAGTTTTGTAACTCTGCAAGTGCATTTTAAATTACATTAAATATGCTACAATCAAGGTGAATTAATTGTTTAACAGACTTACGTGATTATACACCAGGGAATCACTCTCTTCATTATAAAGAGTTATTAATCGCAAACAAAATATTTCGATTGACCCGTACTTCATGAGTTCATTCTTGTCATTATCACATAATGTTTTAAACCCACCTAGCACTTTGGCACTTTTCACATATTTAGGAATCTCTTTTTCAAAATTACGACACCATTCCCTTTGGGCCTCAACCATATCCTTCACTTCATAAGTAATTTTATTGTCAGTCAAAGGATTGATGAGTATATTTGTGGCATTCAAGAGCTCCGACAGTCGATAGCCCTCTAGTTCTCCAAATGTTTTCGTGTCAGTTATGGGCCGAGGGATAGGTATGACTGCAAAGTCAAACTCAACAACCTTTCGATAGACAACATCTGATATACTATTCATTTCTTTATCGGAAATATAATTTTCAATTTCCTTAACCTGTGAACCAATCTCTTTGTTAATAATATTTTGTTTGTCACCAAATATTTCGCTCAAAACATCTTGATTTGCATTTTGATTGACTACTGATTCATCGCATGAGTTACCAGTTGTGAAGTCAATGGTATTCTCGGCTACTATTTTGTTACTTCTTATAATTCTTCGTAACTGTTTTAACTCATCCGACAGAATATATTCCTTGAAAATCATAAACAATTATTAATACTTAATTAGACTTAATAATTGTCAAATTATAATGTACTGTATATACTTTTTTCATTCCCATAGATAAGCACTTCTTAAGTCGACAACTACGACAATATTTTCGTGAAATCAAATTTATTTGACAATTACCCCTTAAACTACATTGAAATTCCTATATTCAGTCAAACAAATAATTATTATATTAAAAAACAAATAAATTTTTGTCAAACCATAGACTTTAGCGCATTTCGTCGGAAGAATGCTTTACACGATTCACATGTCATGACATTGAAATTATTACCTAGATAATAAAATTAAGTATCGTTAATATTGTTGTTTTATATAATGTTATACAGAATACTCTTTTGTTGTATAATAACGATAATTAATTATATATTTAAATGATTTCTTAATTATTCTTGTATATTTAAATTAAAGGATAAAATAATAAAATAAAATAATTTTTTGAGATTTTCAAAAAATATAATTTTGTAACATTTTGCTTACCACTTGCTTTATCCCCACAAATAACACATTTCTTAATTTCTTCATTCATTTCCAGAAATAATTATTATTTCACTAAAATTAACGTTTTTAATATTAATCGTTGTTTAGATTATTAGTAATAAATTTAATTATTAGCAAATGTATATACTGTACCTTTTATGTATCTCTTATAAACACGCAGCAACAGTATAGTAAAATATTATTCTTAATCTGTACAAAACATTATAATAATCAGCAAGTAGATTTGTCTCTTCTAAAATATTTTGGCTTTTACACTATTTCAATATTATTATTATTAACTCTAGATTAAATTATTATAAATTATTGCAATATTTGATGCTAAAATGGACGAGTATTTATACTTACGATAATATACTTATAAAAACTCATAAACTCATAAAAACTTTATCTAAAAAATCTGAACTTTATCCCAATACTTGGCAAATAACTAAATAATATTTGTATTTATGTAGAAATTATAATTGCTATTAAACTCAAGATTTTTAACTTTCACTTATATTATTATAATATACAGTACTGTACCTGTACTAAAATTAATATAAATATATTGATGAATATTAGAGTTATATTTTTATCAGTAATTTGACAATTTGTTTATTATGTATATATTTATTTACTAATTAAAATTTTATTTTATTTTGGTAATATTTATCCATTTTTGATATCAACACAATCATTATAAATAATATAATATACTCTATGAAATTACTTAAAACATACTGAGAACAGTTATTAAATCACAAAACACAATTATATTATATTATAACGTATACGATACTTATTTAGACAACGTTAGTAAATATTATGAATCCTTTAAAATGGATATAATGTTTAAACATTGCAAAAAATCGTACACTTGTGTGATCTCACTGACATGTATTCAGCCATTGATTTCTATAACATTGAAAACTTCTGTAAGAAGTGGTCCGACATGTTGTGGTCGCCGTTGAGAGAAGTTTTCGAAATGCATTCCTCTTAATGTCTGCACTGAATGCAAACTATTCAGTAGCCGTAATAGCCGTAGTCTGCCCTCACTTTCCGACTGATACCTCATTTCTAAATAGCGTCCAAGTAAATGCATATAAATATGTTGTTGGAGTCTATGATGTATTTGTGAATAAATTAATTAAACATTTAAAATCATTATACAGTACAACTCAATGTTTGCAATATCACTTACTTAACCAGTTCCCTTTGTTGTAAGTTAGGCCTCTCAGCATTAAATATTACTATCGCCGATAGCTATATAAATAATACAATACTTTAAGTTTTGTTTATAAAAATAATAACACGTATTATAAAACTACCAGGTCAACTATAACTGGATCATTATTCCATTCGCTGGCAAATGATAGCAAAAACTTCTTATAGGCACCAAACATATCCCTTGGAGTATGTCCCTTTAATATATGCATTTTCATTATAGATGTGCTTTCATCATCCTGTTCAATCACATTTATTAGTATATAATTAATTATGTAATATTCAAGCAATTCTTACCACGATCATTCTCCAATAATCCTTTTCAACATTATACAAATAAATTAATCGCAAAACAAACAGTTCAATGGACCCGTACTTAATGAGTATGATTTGATCACTTTCAGGCAATGTTTTAAAATGTTGTAAGTTTTTGGAGACACTGATAAACTTAAGTATCTCCCGCTCACACATCTTAATCCAGTCCATACAGCCCTGGTTTATGTGTTTCACTTCATACTTAACTTTAGGCAAAACGGACGGCATTTTCAATATGTGTGTTGCGCTCAACAACTCCGACAGCCGATTGGCCTCTAATTCATTGAACGTATGGCTGTAGTGAGTGATGGGTCGGGCGATAGGTATGACTGCGAACTCAGATTCTGCCGCTTTTTCGCAAACTTCGGTTACGATTGGTTTCGCATTATTCCCCATAATATAGCTCTCGATTTCCATGACTTGGTTATTGATCTCCTCATCACTTAAGCTATTATTTCCAAACACTTCGATCAACAGGTCGTTGTCTACACCTTCATTGAGTACGTGATTGTCACCGGAGTTACCACTCGTCGAGTCAATGGTATTATCACTTTCGCTACTATTTGACGATTTCTTAGCGTTTTGTTTATCTTTCTTTGATTTTCTTATCCTTTTTTGGTCGTCAGTCAGAATGAATTCCTTGAATAAAAAATGAAATTATTTTATAAATCAATAAATAGTTAGTTTCCAAAACAGGTCCATTTGATAAATACTTTTTTCATTCCCAAATCAAAACACTTCTTGAGTCGACACCTCCTGCAGAACTTTCTGGTGACTACATCTATACGACAATCGCCTTTAAATGGGCACCGGTATTCCTGTTTATAAATTACAAAGTTAAATTTAAATAAATATTAAAAACATTTTAAACAATACATTATTTCTCAACGCATTTCGTCTGAAGAATGCTTTACACGACTCGCAAGTAATGGCATTAAAATTATTTCCTAAATAAATATGCTGGGTGTTAATTATGACAACGTGCAAACATTTTAAATTATACAATTTTATAATTATGTAACTCACCAGTAGCCTTTTCGCCGCACACTTCGCAGTATATAATCATCAATTTATTGGTCACTTTTCGGTTATTTTTTGGCATTTTTACTGCTTTAAAACTAATGATTTGTTTATTACTTGGATATTGATTATTCAATCCTTAAGACTGTATGATGTTTAATTAATATTAATAAATTGTTTTGCACAAAACAATCTCCTTTTATATAAGTAAATATGTTAATTGTGTTTCCAAGACAATTAGGCTTGTATTATTTGAGCACACATATATCTCACATAAATTTATCATTAATATTATTCTTAAGATATAATGACATTGAGAAACACAAATACCGCACACTAATTATCGGCTAGTTATAAGAATGGACTTTATTATTTTTGAAATAAATTTTTTCTTTAATTATAGTAACTCGAAATATAATAATTTAGGTAACAATTGAATACAATAATATTTATATTGTAGTATACAATATACGAAAATATGTTTAAACAAGTTTTTATTTAATTCATTAAACTATTGCTCAACTCATTTAGAGTTTGCGTAAAGAATTTCTAAGAATGTTAACTTTCCCGCATAGCATTTACACTATACACTAAAGTGCACTAAAGTGCAATCCAAAAATGCACTAAAATTGTACCCAATTTTTATGCTTAGCGCGATTGTTATATATGAGCTTTGAACAATCATAGTAACGTTAGCTATTTTTATTAATACTTTAAAATCCAGTAATATTTTAACCTGATAAGTTATAATACTACTCGTTAACCTTAAACAGCAGTCATACCTATCCCTCGGCCCATAACTGACACAAAAACATTTGGAGAACTAGAGGGCTATCGACTGTCAGAGCTATTGAATGCCACAAATATACTCATCAATCCTTTGACTGACAATAAAATTAATAATTAGATATAATAGATATAAAATAGCTAACGTTACTATGATTGTTCAAAGCTCATATACAGTAGCTTTCAAGGCCTAATTAGTATTTGAAAATTAAATACAAAAATCCTGTATACTAAGTTACTACATAAATTAGTTGCACCATGTGATCATCAGGAATCATATTACTATCATATTTGGAATCATAGTTTATTTAATTGCAATTTTATGAAGTATATTTTTGCATACATAAATTCTATTACATTGTAATACAACTACTGTATGTTACATGTATAAACATTTGAATAATAGAAATTAATATTATTTATTTTTAGAATCTGATATCAAAGAGTTAAATAAATGAAATGGGAAATGAATAGCTGCAAACATATGTATGACATAATATTTTATTATAAACTAAATCCGCAAAATAACAACAAATTTAACTCATTCACCAAATAAACAATACCAGTAAATATATTTATAATTCTTAAATATGTTAAAATCAATAGCAATTAGTTGGGTGTAAATCATTGCATTGTAAAAATAGTTTAAACCCTGAATTTTAAATCACTTTAAAACTGATTTGAAATGAGTATTAAATGTTAATCCAATTCAGTGAATGTAATGGCATTTTGATGAGGTCTACGGTCATAGATCTCATTGAGAAGGGGACTGATATGCGGCGGTAAGGCATCCAAGAAGCACTGGATATACTTGTGATGCAAATTCGATGAATAGGTTAAGCCATTCATAAGTCTAATGAATCGCGATTTAGCTTCACATTCAGAGCCGTATTTCATTTGTAGATAACGTTGAAGTAAATACATGTAAACTTGCTGTTGGAGTCTATAATAAATACACTGGTTAGATGCTACTATAAAAACATTTAGCTAGATTACTTACTTAATAGCCTCTCTATGGGTTAGGTTCGGGTGGTTTGAATCAAACAATACGATAGCATTTAACTGTAAATAGATTTGTAGATATTTAATAATTATTATTTGTGTTATCATTAAACATAATACCAAATCGAGAATAGTTTCATCGGAATCATATTCCCTTCCGATTCGACACAAGAACTGTTTCAATGGAAAATATAAGTCTATTGTGTGTTCCCTCAAGATTTTTAACTTGACAAGTGTCGCGTTATCATGGTCCTATTTCACACAAATGCCAAACAGTTATTAATCCATGAATGCAAAACAATACATTAATTCTAATTAGATTTTCAAATATTATTATAATATAAGTTATGATACCATAGGAATACACCAGTTTTCGGTGGAGTCATCATAGCAGTGGACAGCCCTCATGCAAATCATCTGAATGGCCCCATACTTGAGGAGTAGGAGTTGGTCCGACTCACACATACTCCTGAAGGCATTTAACTTTTTGAAAGCCTGGACCACTTCCCGGACCTCCTCATCGCACTTCTTGATCAGTACAGTCACAGCGTCCGTGAAATTAAACACTTGTGACGTGCACTTAGGTACGGGTGACCTGAAACACGAGGTCACCTGGATCAACTCGGTAAACCTCATGCCCTCGGTCTCATTGAATACATTGGTATGTATGGGTCGTGGGATAGGTAGGACCGCTAACTCTAATTCCAGAGCTTTTTTGTAGGCCTCCTCCGATATATGGTTGTGGTCTACGAAACTATTTTCAATTTCCTTGATTTGGGAACTAATTTGCTCTTCGCTTACGTTATTATTATCTAAAATTTCAATTATATTTATGCCATCAATGGCTTCATTATCGGTAGCCATCAGTGACTGAGACGACGACGAGTTGTCATCCGATTTGTCAACCGTTTTTGTGTTCACTTTATTTGGTTTATGTTTATTGTGTTTATTATTTTCAATCTTTCGGCGTCTCATCTCCTTTTCCTCGTCATTCAGTATCCATTCCTACCATAAATGCATACAATATTATAATAACATATAAATTGCAGAATATTTTTTGCATACTTTTCTCATTCCGATAGCGAAACACTTTTTGAGTCTACATTTTCTACATATGGTTCTCATCTCTAAGTCTATTCGGCATTTCTCTCCGTAATAGCACTTCATTTTCTGTATAATAATAAAATATTTATTAAATTTAAGTCTGTTTTCAGACATTTAGCATAAAAATCCGGATTACATGATAATTGGAGGCATTTCTCCGGAAGAATGCTTTACACGACTCGCACGAAAGGGCGCAGAAATTTTTCCCTAAATATTCATGACAACAAGAATTCATGTATAATAATTATCAAGGCATTTAGATAGAAATGTCAACATTACCCAGGGCTTTATCACCGCATACACCACACAATTTGGGTGTATCATCAATGTCTGTCATTTCTTTATTATATTTAATATCACTTTTTATTTCAGGATTTTTTAATACTTCACTAATTGCTAACAAAATGCAATATTTTGTTGATTTATTTGTTTAAAATGTGTAAAAACCAATGGTTTTACTGCCGATGTAATTAAGTTGTAATTATGATAACCTAAAATATAAACAATAAAGTGATGCCATATTTAATGATGTATTCATCAATATCGAGGAAATTTGTATTTCAATATCAATAGTAAAAGTTTTTGAGTTAATTCTGGTTATCTCAAGGCTAGGCATACAAATGGTTATTATCTCATACTACCAGAATATATTATTTATAATCATATAATTAGTGTACAGTAGTGCTGTGAAATGTCTATCTAAAAATATTAAAACCTTAACATTTAAATTGTACCCAAAATATTCAAACTAAAATTGAACATTTTAAAATATTTATTAAATTAGAACAAAAAAGTTCATCATTCTCAATTTATATTTTTAATTCATTGAAACATTTAATCAAGGTTGGACATAATATCACAAATGTCCAGCACACTTACAACCAAACCCGGGCATTTACCAGGCTAATTTACAACACTATTTATAATTATAGATAAGTACTGTAGTGAACCTAATCCCCAGAAGCAATAGATAAGGAAACTTCAATAATAATAATTTAATGATTATTGTCAAATGTATCAATAATTGGTTTATGAGTTAATGGTTGCCATCTATCGAATCATGCAATTACCGGATCAGTTACTGCTATAAATTTAGTGGACACTGATCTCCACAAACATAATTACTTTAATTTATTAGAATTTCAAAACAATTAATTAATAATAAATAATTTTATTCTGAATAAACAAGTAAATTATACATGTGATTATAAATGTTTAGTATCCTAGTATCACCATTGAATAATTAGTACTGTATAACAGATCTACAATATTTAATCTAAGCTAATTGTTTGACCTAAACTTTTTCAGTTTATTATAGTTGTTTGAATAATAAAACTAAACTCGCTATAAATACACAACAACTTTGTGCTAATTACTATTTTTAATCCAAATTACTGAATAGTAAAGTCTGTACAGGAGTTCTATCATAGATCTCATTGAGAAGTGGACAGACATCAGAGGGTAAGGCACTCAAGAAATCAAGAATAAGTTCTTTTTGTCTCCCTTTAGTACATGTTAGAATATTCATGAGTTTTGTGAACTTGGAGTCGGCCTCACACTTGGACTGGTATTTCATTTGCAGATATCGTTGAAGTAAATACATGTAAACTTTTTGTTGAAGTCTACAACATAATAAGAATCCAATTTAAATTAGATATTACTGTATTTTATATAAATAATTACATACTTAATTGTTTCCCTGTGGGTTAGGTTTGGCTGATTTGAGTCAAATAACACAATAGCTGTTGACTAGAAATATAATAAATATATCAATTTTTATTACAATTTATTATTAGTTTAATACCAAATCCAAAATGATTTTGTCGGATTCAAAAAATTTTCCATGTTCCAACAACAGTTTTAATGTTGTATACGAATCCAATTGATAATTTTTGAACACTTGTAATTTCAATAAGGTAGCACAATTGTTTTCCTGATTACCACAATGAAAATTATTATTACGAGTTAAGTAACAAATTTCTGATTAGGCTATACCTGCGGAAACTTCCAGTGCTCGCACTCGTTATAGTAGTAATGTACTGAACGCATACATGACATTTGGATTAAGCCATACTTCAAAAGTATTAGTTTATCATTTTCACACATACTTTGAAAAGTTGTTAATTGTTTGAAATTCTGTATGGTTTCGATGACACCTCTCTCGCAATTAATGGTCAACACTTTGATGGCTTCCATTGGGTCTAACACTTGAGTTATGACATCAAAAGTCAAGG